GTGCGTGGGGCAATAATATAAATATATTCACGGCCTCTGATCCACGCACTCAAAATGTATGTCGTGTTATAATGCAATACACACATTAACTGCGCCTCGGCGCTCCTTCTTTAAAGAAACAAGAATTCCCACTTTGTACTGCCACCGCTTCTGCGAAAGACACGGAACTGGTTTTTGTTTGAATTTTTTTTTATTTGTTTTTGGTGGGCCATATATTTCTTTCTGCCTGGACTGTGCTCAAAGGGAAGAAGGAGAGCATGTGTGTTTGCTGGTCGTCCCACTTGTTTCTGCGTGCCCCCACTACTCGGTGGACGCGCCCACGCTTCGGCTTCACTTTACGGGATGTGTTTATTGTGTTTTGATGTTTGTTTGTGTTTTTTTTTGATCGACTGCGCCCATTCGCGCTGCGTGTGTGTCCTTCCATTACATTTCTGTTTCTGCGCCTAGCTGCCATTCGTGTTGATTTGGCGCCTCATTGCATCTTGCAGTCCTTCCTTTTCTTATTGCTGTTTTTTTGTCTGTGCATGTCCTCTGCATGTGTAGGAGCTAACACACACACACACACGCCATGTTGATCACGCTGTGGAGCGGTGTGAACCTTTGAGGACGCGTGAAGGCACGAGTGTTCTGGTGGCGGCGGCCCTCGCCAACATGCCCGTGGCGCTCAAGCCGTGATGGTTTGGCCGCGAGAACAGGATGGAGGAGGGCTGCGTCTTCGAGTCCGTCGCCATCCTGTGGCACATCGCGCGTCTCGATCCGGGCGGCGGCTTCCTGCAGGGCTGAACACTGCCGGAGAGCGGACGGATGGAGTTGCAGGCAGTTCCTCTGGTGAGGCCGGCCGACCGGTTTGTAGTGCGGTGGTGGTGCAGTGCCGGGTGCCGGGGGATGCGAGGTGCCCGCGCTGCCGTTGGTATGCCAGGGTTGGGGCGGGCGTTGTGTCACCAGAGCGGGAACACGCGGCTTCGGCGGTGCGTTGGGGCGGGGCGTGACCTCGTGCCGTTCCGCTGCACGCGCAGACTCGGCACTGTCCCTCTGTCTCGCAGGGTGCAGTGGAGTGGTTGGAGCGTGTTCCGGCTGAAAGGACTGGTGCTGGCACCGGGGCGCGGCGGACTTGTGCTCCCTGCACGAGGCGCGTTTCTTGTCTGAGGAATGGGGTGGCTTCCCTTTTCCTTCGGCGGCTGGCGGGCGGGCTTCGCTTCGCCACCGCAACGAGGCTGTGGTCTTTGAGTATTTGTCGGGGGCGGTGTTGGGACCACACACCGGCGCAGGGAGGAAAGCGGCAAGGCGCCGAAGGCCACTGCAGCGTCACGGCTTCAGTGCTTTGCTGTACGCAAAGGATGATAACTTGTTTGCCGTGTACGAGAGAAGGGACAATGAGACAAGCAGCCTTTTTCTTGTGCCCCTCACCGAGCAGCTGCAGCGGGTCACAAGGCTGGGCAGTCTGCAGCTCTCCCGTGCCTGCGGATGGTTTGGTTGGCTTTTTGTCCGGCGCTGGGAATGCCACCCAATGAGCCGGCGATTACCGTTGGATGAACGCTGCGGTGAGTGGCGTGACAAGGATTGCCGACGGCTGTAACCTGACGGGGGCCCCGTTGCGGATTGTATGGCCAGTGATTGAGCGGGCGGGGGCGCCTGCGTACAGCTTTGCTGGGCGTGGGGGCCGGCACGTGCAGGAGCTGAGCACGAGCTGGGACGGTAACAAGCGCTGGCGGACGGGCGGCACGGGAGGCGCCTACGTTGACGGCGAGAGGGTGGGGCCACTGGGGGGCACTCTCGTGTCTGCGTCGGTTCCCGGCAGCACGACGGACGCGGGCGATGGGGCGCGGGCCGAAGAAATGCTGCTGCCGCCGCAGGATGAGTTGGTGCACGTCCTTTTTGGGGGGCGGCGAAGCCGGTGCGGGAGGCGCAGGGAACGACGTGATGCTGACGAACGTTTTGCTATACAGCCGGCTGTTGAACACCACAGAGCTGAAGGCGCTCGTGGAGGAGAAGCCCGCCCCTCCAGTGACGACAGAAGCGCCGTCAACCACGGCTCCTCTGCAGGTCGCGAGCGACAGCTCCGTGCATGGGTGTGTGGCTGCCTGTTTCTCTTCTGAGTGGAGGGGAACAACAGGGAA